GCTTGAACATTATGGCTGTAAAGAAATTAGGATTTTAAGCTCTAAAAATATTGTATATTATAATAAATTATCTAGACCATCTATTTGACCCTAAAAATGTTTGTTTATAGATTTACAAGATCTACATCAGTTTTTTAGTTTCAAATTTCATTGTCGCTGTTGAAAATTAATTGGAAAGCCATCATGGAGATTTTTGTCGTCAAAAGTAATTTTCATACAAAGATTTGAGGTGAGGCTTTATAAAAATAAAATAAAGCTTAGGCCTCATAGAAACTTCATCCAAGCAAAAGGATCAGATAATGAAGATGAAAATAGCGTATTAAGCAAGGGGATGAGACAATGAAGAGAGGCATAGAAAATCCAAGGAGAAGAGAAATGAAGATGAAAATAGCATTTTAAGCAAAGGGATGAGATAATGAAGATATTGGAGAGAGGCATAAAAGATCTAGGCATATTGATAGGGTTTGGAACAAGAGGAGAGAGAGAGAAAAAATTTCCACCTCTCAGAATGGGAAGAGGGATGAGAGAGAGAGCCTCTTTAGAAAGGGAGTAGAAGACCGTGATAGTTCTAAGGAAATGTATATAATGTTACTTTTAATATAAGGATGTCACAATCATCATTGATAGTTAGATTCGAAATTGAGTGGTTCAGGATATCATTGTTTAGACCTAAAATTCAAAACAAAATTTTTTGAATATCGTGATATACTTTCATTTATTGGATTTCACATCCAATGGTTAAAAGTGACCGTGACATCCTTGTATCAAAATAAATGGTCTCATAGTATACAATCCATCGTTCTAATAGATCCGTAATGGTTTACCAAAATTTTGAATTGAATTTCAAATTTTGTAATGCTATACACTTTATAATTTGAAAAAGCATTGTACTTTCTTTTTTTGTCGTCGGATAAATCCCTAAACTCAAGGGATCGCTACTTCTTGTATCCTTTATAAATATTCTCACGATTGAGTAATACGATTCATTTAAATTTGCTCTAAAACTTGACATAGTATTAGAGGCATAGTTTATCTTCTCAATAGACTGGTTTTGTCTCACTCTCATCTATCTTGATGTAAAGCTTTGCCAACAACCATCAATAACTATTGATCTTAGAGCACCCTATTATCCATAGGTTTTCGTATTTTTCATTCACTGAAGTTGGTCTTTCTTAATCGCTTCCGTGTGCTCCTTCTTAGTTGTTTTTCTTGTATCCATTTGTGGTTGCAAATCAACTTTCCTTGGGTATATTTTTTAGAGCTTAGCGGGTGTTTCTCCTTCTGCTTTTTTTTTTCCTCGTAAAGCCTTTTTTTCCTAAGTGCTAAGTTTCTTTGTGTTTTTCTCATAATATTTTTTACTTACTCAATAGAAATATTTCATCTCTGTCTTTCTACGTTTGCCTCTCTATATTTGTATCTCTCTCTCTCGTGCAAACTTGTTTTTACCTTCTCAATAGAAAGATAGAGATGAAATATTTCTATTGAGTAAGTAAAAAGTCGTGGGAGGCAAGGCACACAGGGGATAGG